TATATTTTTTACATTTTTAATACATTTTGTGTTGGTGACTTTGAGCAAACGCTGTGCTCTTTCTAGAGTAGATTTTGCTCAAGATATCAACATAACCAGTGCTGGCATTTAGACTCACTGTGCCTCACACTTTTTAAATTTAAGAATATTTGATTGGTTTTATTTTATGATGAAGTGAAACAAAGAGCAAGAAGAGTGAGTTATCCAATGTTGGACTCTGCAGACAAATAACCCAAATCAGAAGACAGCATATTGCCCGAGATAGTGAAGCATTTTCATCACAATGAGTATGGACTACCAAAAGTGAACAGAGCACACAAGAAAAATGCTGCTTACAAAGTTTTAAAATAAAGTTTCGGCTCTTTTAAATTTGCACCAGGTCTCATCACATTTTAACAAAAGCTCTTATTTACTCACAGAGGATGTGAAATACTTTATGAATAATTTATAGTACAGGACTCACTTGTACAGTATAAGAATTCAGTCTCCAAATTGAGTTCACTTTAGCACATCATGCTCTCTTAAGTATTATTTAAATAAAACTCTTATTCAGATTAACTAAACTCAATATTGGCAGCTGATACGAGTAAATACTAAGATCTATGCATTGCAGTAGATGCAGATGCTTCTATGAATCATTATTTAGCCACTCCTTAGAGCTGTAGCCTCCAGGTGTATAGACGCATAGTCAGCTATTACACAGGAAAAAGAGCAATAAGGCAAACAGGACAGATGGTCTATTGAGTTTCCTGCTTGATGCCTTTCACATGACCAAGAGAAAAAGAAAAGCAAGAGAGCGATGGAAAGATAGGACAAGAGAGAGCTGCAAAACCCATGTAATGTTCCCATGAGCTGATTCAGTTATGCCCGTGAAGTAAATTCAATCAGCTATGCATGAGAAAACTGAGAATGGAAGAGCAGAGAAAAAACAAAGCAAGATAAAGATTTCTCTATGTATGGAATGTAATCAGGGAAAGGTTAACATAATGATAAGGGTTTAAAAGACAGCACAAAACAAGTCAAAATGCACCAAAAGCACAAAGAATCAAGTGTAACAAAGTTGGAGCAAATTGGCAAAATAGAAGTTAAAAAATGGAGCTTAAAATATAGCACAAATGAAATAATGTCTAAACTGTCTGGTTAAAGAAATGAAAAATGGATTCAACCTACAAATACCTTCAGGTAAATAATCAGATGGATCAAATCAGAGAACTTAGAGAAGCATCGATACCGAGCTCCTTCTCATTTGTATAACTTTGAATCCCTCAGTTGTTTCTCTTTTAATTTGACACACCCTTAAGCACACTGGTGAAAACATTACATGTTAAACTGCTCCTTGTGATGCAGCTGTGGGGTCTGGTGGTTGAGCTGCGTGAGGGGCTCCAGGCGGCGCTGGGGGAGCTGTGCGAGCTGCGTCAAAAGGACCACGGTTTGGAAGAGAAGCTGCAGGCCCATCAGACTGATGTGGATGATAAGATAATGGGCCTCAAGAACACGCTCAACACATTTAAGGTGCTGGAGAAGCTAGACAGTAAAAACACACACATACACAGTCTACTCTTGGTGTGGCCTCTGAAACATAATTTAGAACATCTGACTTGGACTCTGTTGAACTGTAAACTAATTTAATTAGGCAGGAAGGCAACTCTTTCAGACTCTCACACTTCTTTTCAACAGGCAGTTCAACGTGGACTACGTTGCTAATGTTTTTTTTAATGTGCATGCATACGAGAAATTCTCTCTTTTTGATTTGAATCCCAAATTCTCCCCTTAAAATCTGACCCTGGTACTTCCCATTTCAGCATAGTGACTTTCCCAGTTTTCCCAAAGTAAAACTACTGGCACCTTTTAATCTTCTTGCAGGAGGAGCTGAATGTGGCGTTGTTCCACATCAGGGACATTTCCAGCAGACAAAGAGCTGTTCAGAAGAGGATAGAACTGCTGCACTCAGAAAACAAAGATATGATGTCAGTTCCACACAGGTAGGGCTGCAACATTTTGAAAAAGGTGCTAGTTTTAATAAATGTACACGCATATAAAAATTATTCACAGTAATTATTCAATCATCCCACTCAGCTCCCTAATGGTGACCCAAAAAGTTCAACTTTCATATGTAACTTTGTCAAATAAGCGCTCTTTTTAATTCTCCTTCACCTGTGCTGATCGGGCCACTAGCAGAAAGAGCTCCAAGGCTGATGTGCTGACAGCATCCAGTGATGAACACATCTGTGTGCCCAGCCAATCAGAGCTCAGTGGTATTCAGCACTTTTTCCCCAATACGCAGAGCAGCGGGTCACCGCCGAGGAGCACCACGTCGACTCAGAGTGAGTCTGTGTATTTCAACATTCACTATGCAAAGAGTGTAAGCGAGAAAATGACCGGCTCGTAGAGGCAGTTTGCTCATACTAGTGTTTGTGTGTTGCAGCCTCCACGTCTGAGCAGGACCAGCAAAGATCTTGTCCTGAGACCAATAGTCAGACTGAAATAAGTAAGAAATACACCTGTTTCTGCTGATAAACATACTACTGCGGGTAGTCCACATATCTATGCACGGACCCACTAAACCACAGTCTCTTTTTACATCCTGAATCATGCATTACTTGGTAGTCAGAGGAAGTTTAAAGGCAGAAGTAGGTGGATTTTACCACCTCCAGACAGAGCTATGGGTAGGAGTTTCACCACTCTTTTTAATTTAAGCAAAACTCAATATATAAATATAATTGTTAAAATGGGATTTTAGTCAACATACATGACCATATAAAAAGGTGTTTTAACCAGCTTTTGCCTTATGTTTGATGGCAGGTTTTATAACAGGTGCATATTACAAAAAATATTATACACAGGTAGTAAAGGCCAGCCAGTAAGCCTGGCCCCCTTTGCAGTTGTCTGTCTTTTATGGTTACAGAATAATCCTCTTTATTCTCAGAGTTTAAAGTAGATTGTGTTCTGTATGTGCAGATAAAAGACAGAGAGCAGCCTTGGAGCTGCTGGAGTCTGAGAGAGTTTACGTGTCCCACCTTTCTCTGCTTCTGAAGGCAAACATCTCCTTTAACGGATCAGAAGCCCTCACTTCCAAAGACAAACGGTAAAGCCTGCTGACACCCTAAGATGGCTCGATTCAGACTGATAATTGAAGAAAAAGACATGTAAAGCAGTTTTTTGGAAAGAAGAAATGTCCCAGCCACCACTAACCCCTACCTGATACACACACAGAGACACACAAATCAACACTCGCAAGAATATATTCCTGATCTAATTTGAGTGCTTGCAGTGAAGGGTGAACAGGAAATAAACAAATTAAATAAAGGCACATTGTAAACACCAGAGAAGACACTCTGTTAAAGAGACTCCACACAGCTTGTTAATGCAATCACTGCTTAGCTTCAGCACACGTGCTCCCAATGACTGAAAGCGCCAGTGAAATGGTGCCATCGCTGAACTGGGTCAAATGTTAATTGTGAATGATTGCATTTGTTTTAAATTGCTTATCCTGCTGTCAGATGTCTGCCACACAAGATGGCACACTAATTGACACAAATGCAGGTTTTCTCACGTTTTGTAGGAATGTTGATGTTTATAACATCTGCTGCCTTTTGTTCTACTTTTAGTCCATTTCCCAGCTCTTTGAGGTTTCTGATCCAGCAGCACCTTGAGCTCCTTCATACTCTTCAAGAACGTGTGCTCAAATGCCAGTGGCAAGGCATCATGGGAGATATATTCATGAGGCTTACAAGTAAAGAGGTAAACACAGAATGAGAGCGCAAAACGAAATGTGGATATTGTCCTTTTTGATGTGAGCACCATCTACTGGTAAATAAAATGAAAGTCTTTGAATTCTTAACATCTTTTAAACCAGCAGGCAGTGAATGCTACATATGCACTCCCTCCATTTTTCTAATAAGGTGTTGATTCAATATCAGTTATCTGAATCTATCTTTCATGGACTTCCTTTTCAGCTTTCTTAGCCTGCACAGTTTGTTTTTCTATGCTATGTTTGAAATAATATAAGAATCTTTTAAGTGTATTTAGGCATTTAGAATTGGTCAAGACCTGCAGAAGTTCAAAGAAAGCATCAGACTGGGAAAAAAGGTGATTTATGTGACTTTGAATATAGTATAGTTGTTGGTGCCAGACAGACTGGTCTGAGTATTTCACAAACTCCTGATCTGCTATGATTTTCCAACACAATCATCTCTAGGGTTTAGAGAAGAGCAGCAGTTCTCTGGGTGAAAATGCCGTGTTGATGTCAGAGGTCAGAGGAGAATGGCCAGACTGCTTTGAGTTGATAAGAAGGATATACTAAGTTGTTACAATCAAGTTATGTGTCTCTGAATGCACAACATATCAAACTTTGAAACAGCAGATGAATATATAGGACCCAATATGCAGACTCCTGGAGGAAGAACTTAAACTCAAAAGTCCACTGCTTTATTGCAGGCAAACGTCAAAAATAGAACAAAACTAGGAGGGCTGGAAACTGGACTGGAAACTAAACACAGGGCAGAATGAGGGTACGACGTGACACTAAGCACGGGGAACACGGGGCTTAAATACAAAAGGCAGTAACACAAACATGAGACACACAAGGCGAGCACGGCTGGGAGCAATCAAGCCTGACGAGACGGAGGGACACAAAAGAGAATACAATGACCTGAGACACTGACCTTCAAAATAAAACAGGAAACAGACTGGCACAGAACTAAACCCATACTAAACACTAGAAATCAAACCACAAAGAAATTATACAATAATAATACACAAAACGCTGGCTCACTGACCCAGGACCGTCACAGTGAGTCTCAATTGCTGCTGTTTCATTTGGATACAGGATCAGAATTTTTGGTGAACAATATATATACATGGATCCATCCTTCCTTGTATCAACTGTTCAGGCTGTTGGTAGTCTGGTAATAGTGTGGGGGATATTTGCTTGGCATGCCTTGGGCGATTTAGAACCAGCTGAGAACTGTTGCTGACCATGTCCACCCTTTTATGACCAATGCACCCCCCCCCCCCCCAACCTCTGTGCTGCTATCATCCACTGTCTTCCTGCTACTTTCAGACCAATAAGCATTCTCCAACAGCCCAAGCAGGGAAAACCTCTGCAACAATTTCAGCTGAGAACAGTCAGATCTGCCATCCTGCACTGTTAGCCCTGATCAGGGTAATTAGTGGTTTTCCTCACAGAGGTTTCCTTGCATCCATCCTCCAGTGGGACTGGCAGTCCTATTAGGATCATCTTCTTTCCTTTGTCAGAATATTGTCAGGTGGAAGTATAGTTTATTCCCCAGGTCCACCTTCATATGCCATACCTGTGCAGTCTGCAGGAGGGTGCTGTTGATCTTCTTGGAGGAGAGTGTTTTTTCTCCCTGCTAGATGAACTGGATTTATGGGATGGGTTTCCCACGAGTCTGATGCTTTTTCAGTTCATCCTTCTCCAAGGTGTCTGCCAGTGCTCTAAAGACTTGGCTGTACTCCCATCTGTAGCTTCCCTGTACAGTCTTGCATCCCCACGAGTGTGTCTCAGCATGACTCTCCTTCAGCACTCTGTCATCCCAATCTGTGCAGATTTGATAGTGCAGGGAAGTGTTTCGTGCACTAAATGGAGGTAGAGAGAAATGCAGAAGGTCTCCAGTGTATATAAAGAGCATGCAAACTCAGGCAGTATATCTCTCCTTCTTCCTCCAGAGTGATTTCTTGGATTTTTATGTGTCCTACCTGAAGGAGCTTCCAGACTGTCTGTCAGTTGTCAACATGCTGGCCACCAGCTCCATGAAGTCTTCGGCCTTGCTTGAGGTAACAGAAAAATGTGAAATATGACAGGTTTTGATGTTAAATTTAAAAGCACAGAATGTAACATGACGGGGCAGAGCAGGGAGGACAGGATGAAAAAGAATACCAGCATACTTCTAAAAACAAAAAAAATCCAGAAACTTACAGCTCATATCACCAAAGAAACGCCAGCATATCTGTCGATTTCTGATTTAACTCTCAGATACTCTCAGAATTGCTTGAGTGGAGGTAACTTAAGTATCTGGAAACCCTGTCAAGTTTCATTTCAAGCCTTGTTTTATATAAAAGCTTCAGACAAATGACGAAATTCACAGTCCTTACACCTGCTGTGTTTTTCCCTTTGATGCTGATTGGTCCATCTGTGCTGCATTGTGCTTGACTGTGTGGTGCTGCTATCAGAGTGACATAGCAGGTGATGAATCCAAACCCTCCCTCTACACTCTGCTGCTTCAGCCAGTTCAGAGGATCCCTGAGTACCTGCTGCTTTTACAGGTTGGATCAACACCACTGCCAGAATTGTCCTTATATGTTCATATCCTGCAACACACAAACTTGATACAAATACGATACTCTGAAACCATGCAGAAAAAGGTTATCAGTAAACAGAAACAGAAATAAAATGACAATTAACAACTCAGTATTATTATGACTGAAGATTAAATCTGATGTATGAATATTTAAATTGTCTATCTGTGTGTGTGTGTGTGTGTGTGTGTGTGTGTGTGTGTGTGTGTGTGTGTGTGTGTGTGTGTGTGTGTGTGTGTGTAGGGACTACTTAGGCAGACTGATGCAGAGCATCCAGACTACTATCTGCTGCTGGTGTGCATACAGCAGTTCAGGGCTTTTACTACACAGTACCACCACCTCCTCCAGCACAATCAGGAGCTTCTGCTGCTCAACCGCAAGGAGGTGAAGAGGTCAGGATTACCATCTTTCGAAAAATATCAACTTTAAAACAAACATTAAACAAAACATTTTCAGTGTGAAGGAGCTTAATGTTCTCTGTGCTGTGCACCCCTGCAGGTCTACCATGAAACAGCTGTTAAAGACAGTAGAGAGTGGGATTCAAGCCAGCAACACTGGCTCACCGTACCCTTGCAGCAGTGCAATGCTGTGAGTAGTCAGTTTACCGGGCATTTAATGTAGTGTTTACATGACTCAGACATTTCTGTTAGACATTAATAAATGAATAAGAGTTAAAGATAAGTAGATTATTCCTGGAAAGCAACAGACACAAAGCCCTGATAGATAAATGCTTAATATTTGTTATTGCTTTCTCATTTAAAAAATATAGATATAAAAGCAGTTACATACTCGCCATGTTTTCCTACCAGTCCAGTAACCTTTCAGTATTTCTTGATTACTTCTGTAAAAAGCTGTCGGGTGCTGCTGTAAACGAAGTTTATTTTTTCGTTTCTTCACTGCAGGGAACATGCCAACCAGGTGAGGCGCAGAAAGCAGTGTCTCCTGGAACAGATTCAGTCGCACCGTTTCCAAGATTGGGACCGAGACCAAGAAACTGAAACTCATTGCTATGATGCAGAGTGGCCCTCCCGCCTCCCTTTCTTCAGCCATGAGCTGGACTCACGGAACCACAAACCAACAGGTCAGTAAAATAGTTCAATAAGAGGAGATCATTAGAAGGAACTGAGCGTGATTTAACGAAATAAAGAATTCCCAGCAGAATGGAAAAGGGCAGGACCCCCCCAGAGTGTAGATGCTGGCGGTAATGAAGGGTAATGAAGTTGGGGGCTTTGGTGAGGTGGAAATGGGGAGGAGGTGGATTGCACAAAGGAGACTGCAAGAGAGACTGAAAGTTGAGCATTGCAATTTAAAGGCTGATTGAAGAAGAGAAACAGAAAGATGATTGGACTAGAGCAATGATAGTGGCATGGAGTTTTACAGCGTGGGAAAGTGGATGTTTCAAGTTCAATTTGTTCTCTCCCAGCATTCAAATGCAGCCCTTTGGAGCAGGAATTAACACCTTTCCTTTTAGACATCCTCAGACAACACTTCATACTTCATCATGAACTTTTTTTTAAAAGTGTAGCTTCAAAACGTCAGCACACAGGGCCACTATAAAGGATGTTTATCGCACAGGATGCTCTGGTGTCAGCATGCCAACCGACTGGCTTACCACTGTGCACATTTTGAATAAGAAGTACCAATTTCATCAAAAACCCGAGTCAAGTAAAATTAAAATCCAGGGCACAATTGAGTTAAACTCATCGGTATCTATCTGATGTCCCAGGTCAACTTTTACATTATATAGTTTTAAATCCATTGTTTGTGGCTTGATTGGGGCTTGATGGCTTTATTTTTTTTAACCACATCCTCTTTAAGAAAACCTAAATACAAAACCAAAGCAGTATTTGGGCATCTCCTATCACAGTATTTTATTCAGCGTCAGACAGATGATTCCCCAGAGTAATTTTATTTTTGGGACATGATGAAACTTCCCAAACTTCCCTTTTCCCCAACTTGTCATTTTGGTTCTTATTTTACATCAGTCAACAATTCAGTTTTTTGTTTGTTTGTTTTTTTGCTTTCAGGTCTTGGCAGCATCCCAGAAAGTGAGCCCTCTGAGAGGTCAATGTTGTGCCAGCATCATCTGCCTCCCAGACCTGCAGAGTTCCGCCAGGTTCAGCCGGGATCTGCTCTGGCAGATGCCCTCGGAGAGTTTCTCCTTCCTCCAGATCCCCCTGGGCTGGAGAACCTCTATGAAGAAGATGGAGGCTCTTTTCATGACACCTCTATGTTGGACCGCTGTTCTTCTGCCTCTTCTGATTCCTCCATTGACATTGCCTTTGTGAAGTGCCCAAAAGCCCCCCCAGCGTCACATCACGGAATAGCAACAAATGTGTCGACTACCCGCGATGTTTTTGGCAACATAGGAAGCCAAGGGAATGGTTATAGCAAACTGCCCAACCGTGGTTGTGTCTCTCCAGACGAAGCTGTTCTTATGCGTCGCAATCAGCATCGCCCCCTTCAGGCCAGCCAACGTAAGAGCAAGGTGAGTTTATTTGTAAGAGATATATAAAAATATTGAAGAATCATTTTTGTAGATGTTCATAATCGACATGTATGCCATCTCTGCTGTTAAGTCACTGAATGGGCTGCAAATGGAGAACACAGTGAGTGGTCTGGACAGTGGACCTCTATCAGACCATCTCCAAAGGGTGGGATTGGGCAGCCATGCCAAACTGGAGCGCCAGAGCAGTAAAGGCAGCAAAGGAAGTTCCACCCCCTCCCGTAAGGTCCAGACCCCCTTGGCGAACAGAGCGGACAGTGACAAGCAGAGCCCTGATCTTCACGGACTGCTCAGCATAGTGGGTTTCAGCAAACATCTATTATTAAAGAACCATTATCATGTCTGTACAGGAATTGCCTGTTACATTTTAACATTAAAACCACAGAACCTGACAACAGGAAAATCATATTTTTAGTATTATTTCTTAATTTTCTTGGTAAATACTGAAATATTGTTTTCAACCACATCAGGACACAGGAATCCAGTCATGGGGCGATGAGTCCAAGTGGAGGAGTGGGACGGAGGACAGTAACCACACCCCCTTCAGCGAGAGGAGTCGCAAAGACAAAGGAGGCTTTAGGAGCTCTTTCAAGAAACTGTTCAAGAAAAAGTAAGAAAGATAGTGTAGCATCATGGAGTTAGACACATGGCTGGCTTGGCACTGCAGTTTCTTTAACTTGAAGAAACAAAGATGCCAAAAAGAAGGCAAGATTGAAAGGAAAAACATGTATTCAATTTAAACCCTTTTCTTTCCTCCTAACAGAACTAGTGATGAGAAAAAGGAGAAAGGAGGTGAGAAGACACCAGAAAGTCAAAATAATGGTGAATATGAGTCACCGGGGAAAAACCCCAAACTGGTCCAGCTGGAGATGAACCGCGGCACAGCTGTATGAGCACTGCTCTGCAAACAGGCACTGTGACACATGAACAAAGATGCTGTATAATACATGCATGTACATCATACATATATACTAATGAGAGAAAATCGAGGCTGTTTTTCCTTTCTTTAAAACTTATAGACGCTGTATAAACACTGTACAGATATAAGCAACTGATTTATGTTTCAATTACAAAATCCTTCACACTGAGGGAAATATGATGCGGTTATACAGTAAACAACTCAGTATTGTTGTTTATAACACTGAATATTAGCTCTTTTGCTAATATTCAGTGTTATTATGTTAAGCTGTAGAGCGAAAGACTAGCAAAAAGACAGGCAGTAAACAACATAAATTAAACAGGACTCCATGGTTAAAAACAATATAATTTTGTGTCAGTTAACATTAGATGTGTGATGAATGGTGCCCCACACTGTAAAAAGTCTCACTCCATTTCTTTCCTCTATAACATGTTCCTTTTTCTTTTCCACCCTGACAAAAACATTGTATCGCACGTTTAAACAGTTTCACTCCAGCTCATCTTTCTTTCTTTCAGTCTTCTTAATGATTTTAAGCAATACCCAGAATTACATTGTTGCATATACTCAGGAGAACAAATACTAAGCAGGTAAAATCTGTGTATTTTTGTTCGTGATTAAACATTTTGCTGAAAGACAGTAATGTACATTTTTGTCATTGTGATGATTATTTCTATGAATTGTTTTGTGAAGAAAGACGAATGTCAGAATTTTGAATAAAGGTCCAGACTGTATAATTTGTGGAATCTGGTTCTTTTCCCCTAATTTTTTTAAGTACTAAGATTAAAACACTCAGTCTGAAAACAGAGTAATATCACTCCCAACTTTCTACAACAGTTGGACAATCTCAAACTACGAAGTCAAACTTTGGTGACACTAAAAACTAAATACATCCCACGATTCACTATTGCCACCTTTCCAGCAATAATTCTGAAACTTTATTTTTCAGCCATAATGCTTGAGGTAACTGGGCCTCATTTACTAATTTACAGCTTGTATGCACAAACCTGCGTGTACAGGCCGCTTACAAAATAATTTCTTGGCACCATTTCGTAAATTTTTCTTTTACTGCAGTAAATGTCTTACACGGTCCTTGCCCTCCACCCGTTTTCTCCTTGTCAGGTTGTTTTTCACATTAACCATTGAATATCAGACACTATTATTTAACTTCTACAGTCAGACTTTCTCCTTTTTTTTTGTCTTAGAGATGCGAACTTCTCTTTTACAACTTCATCACCACGATAATATCAGTTGTACGGAGCTTGATCAAGCCTATACGTTACGAATGATTCTGATTTACTAACATAGGCATGGTGGTGACAACAAAATCCAAACTTGCATGCAAACTCATTTTTTGTGCAAGGTACGAATGTTTTCATGCAAATACTGTAGTAAATGAGGCCCAGTCTCCTGTTGCAGGGACCCAGTTTTTGTGCAAGCTTCACTTGTCTGCCTGATAATTGGGTGAGGTCTAGCATCCTTTATGACTTGTCACAGTATAAATGCCACAGGTGTTTCCAACATTAACAATGGCTGTTCTGCTGAGGGTTCCTGGAAAGCTGTAACATGCCACCCAGCCACATTTAACCCCGTCAGCCACACAAAGTGCCTTTCCTACCACGTCATCAGTGAAAACGACCTTCACTGAATTGTGACCACAAAATGACCACGCCAAGACCCAAATGGTTCAGTTCCATCTTTTTAATGTGTTAACCTGTCATCTCATAAATCTGTTACACTTCTGAAACAAAATATAGGCAATTATACAGTATGTAAAACAAACCCATTTTATTTTACACTATATACATTACATAACATATGCATTGCAATATGAAAACAGAAGACAAAGGTGATGAAATAGCCACAGAACAGAGGTGACGTATTGTGTTTTGTTTAAGATAGGGATGAGACCCGGATCAAACGGCTTTCGCAAATAACTCAAAAGGACTTCTATGAATCTGCTCTGGGCACCAGGTAGGGAAATCTCTTCTGTTGGAGAAAACAATCCCCAACTCCAAGCACATTAAACATCTCCGTGACTTATTCTACATGCGATTTGATCCAGGCCCAGTTGAGGTTATGAAACACACACTTTTAACATTTCAGCAAAAACCCACAAAGGAAGGCCATGTTGGCACCTGCTCTAAGGATTATAGATTACGCTTGTGTGCATGATGGCAGAAAGAAGAAAACAGAGCATCATTCAATCCCACATGAACTTTGTTGTTATGCTAAATAGACAGATTTCCCAAACTTAAATGTTTTTAACAGGAAAGAATAGGCAGAGGTGGTTAGGGGTGCAGGAATAGCTCCCCCCTTTTTTCCAGCCATGTTGAAACATTATAGAAGTCGGGTGTGCAGCTAAGAGGATACATAGAAGTGTTAAGATATTTAAGAATTATTTGAGATGGCTATTTTGAGAAAACCTCACACTGAGAAAGCCATTTTCAACTAAATGAATTTTTTTCCATTTACACACATCAGCTGAAAGGACACAGACAGTTAAGAGCCAGTTTAGAGAACATGGTGAACGCTAACCTCATGTGCTGCTGATGGCTGCTGATGGCTGTCTTTAGTATTAGACTTTTTTTTTCTTTGATCTAGATACCACGAGGTAGATTTTCTAAATATGGCCAGAGGAAGTTTCAACAACATATTTTAGCATTACAAAAATGAAGAGTGAAATATTTTCGGAGTGCTTGATTCATTTCCCCTCTAAAATAGTACGATTCGCTAAGAGGCTGGTCATGCGGGGTTGATGATGACACTGGCATTTCAACCACTCAAGTGAGGAAAATCAATCAACTTGAATTCATAACTTAAAGGGTAAAAATATGATTATTGTGGCTTAATCTTTTTTGTTTGGCTTAAATAACTTAATAAAGGACTTGGCTGCAGCTATGAAATGACTCCCAGTCTATAATCACGGTTGTTGGCAGGAAGCACATGTATTCATTAATGGCTAAATCAATCACCTGGGACACTAATGCACTTTGCAGGCAATTCATAGTAAAATCGATACATGTTATTGTTTGCTGAAAGAAAAAGGGCAGAGCATTTCTATTCTCACGCCGAGTTCAACCGTTCTGCACTTGATCCTATTGCTTTACAGCGAACTGGAGTCTAGTAAGATGATTCCAAATGTGTCCACAAATACATCGGATGAAAACGTTATGAATAGTTTGTGTGGTTTTACTCTTTACAGGTGGTAACAGATTACCACCTGTGGTGAAACTTTCAACTGTCAGACCCAAAGAATGGCAAGATTTCTCTTTAATCAGACTTGTGACAGATGAAATCAATTCCCGTGAACATTTAAAAGACAATGCTGCAGCCGCTGCTGTGCCTCATCTCTGGGACAGAGATGCACTAAAAACCACAAGGTTGCTGAAGCAGGATTTGCGGCCTGTAATAAATTTTATTTTCAATTTTCAGTGTCACGTGTTGATCTGATAAAGAGTCGCTTATATTCATTTTGATCAATTTACTGCATTTTTTAATTATTTGCTTTAGCCTATAAATATAGGGGGAAAAAATTCGGAGAGAAGCTTTGAGAACGTGAACCATTCGACAGGCAAATGTCTCAGATTTCAGGATTACGCACGGTATCTCGGGTTCATCTACACTGGTGTCCTCAGTAGGAACCTCTAGTGTCACAGCTTGGAAAACTAAATGGTACACGTAGACTCTCCTACACAGACAGTGCGCATCTACATGCATGTAGTGTGAGCTCTCATACAGATATGGGTCTTTAAAAAAAAGTCACAGCTGACAATGAAAACTTCTGCAAATATTTCTCAGGAATACAGGAAAAAAAAGGTGTTACACAGAAATTTCTATTAATGAGTCTGACTGGATTATTGAGCAAGCCTTTGCACCATATTTAAACCAGCAGACCATTATTCATAACGCTACAGGCTACACCACTCAATACCACAATATGGAGAGTAATATATTTGGATGTGGATGCACTGTTAACACCACATACATGCTGTTATTGTTACTGCATTATTTCACTGAGGTCAGATAATGGTAACCCACCACTGTTTATTGCTCAGTGTAGTGAAATGTACTATAGCCTATCAGCCATGTTGTTTTAGTCTAGAGTTGCCTGTGTTACAGCGGTGGCTCACCGGTTGGAAATCACTTGGATGCTGGCGATTTCAGACTGTTGCTAGCCGAGACTGGTTACAAATAGGGTGCTGCACAAAAAACGTCTTGTGATTGCTTTTGGTTGCTAGTACACCGCTGCAGTTACCCATAGTTTGGATGGTAGATCCACAAATTAAGTTGTGCTTCATCGCAGCAAACACCATTTTTTAAAGGAGGCAACTATTGCTTTTATACCCAAATTTAAGCCTGCACACTGAATCAAACTAAACATTCAACAACTAATTTTTCTGCTCAGGAATGTGAGCAAATAACTGTAACTGTAACAGTTTTTATAAAACAGTAAAGCAGCTGTGGCATAAACCTTACATTGGGTGGTGGTCTAATAAATCTGTAAAAGCGTTGTACTTCTTTGTGACCAGTTTCACCTAGCAACCAGCTAATTAACTGGTCAGACAACACCAGGGCTAACTTTTCTCTAGTGATCAGCGGCGGTGGGTCTCTGTTCAGTCTCTGTGTGACTGTGGAACGCAGGCTGGCTGCAGATGATTCAGGTCTGCATTTTACTTTGTAAACACATTATTTCTGTCCAATGGGCTAAAAGCTAATTCGATTTCAGCCTAACCAGATATAATTAAATGACTGTATATCCAGCTCTTTTTGTATTTTCTTATCTGCTGATGCTTTTTTTTTTTTTAATAAAGTGACCAGAAACTTGTCACTTGTTAAAGACCAGATCTGTACATGACACTCTTATATGTGCATATTCTATGTCTACGCACACAGACGCGCACACACATACACACTATGCATACACACACAAGGTCATATATTATAATGACATCACATTTGTTTGTGAAATACATTTTTCTCTGTGCAAATTTGTAACACCAGTGGTTCAATAAAAATAGCAAAAAAATATATATTGCTGAAGAATAAACAAAGATTTCTGATTAAAAAATAAAAGAAGAAACAAAATGAAACGAGCAGAAATGATCATTTTCGTCCACCCTGATGACGGTCACGTGATGAAAACAAGCAGGAAGTCATGACAGCGACGCGCTGAGAGTGAAAAACGGCCAATCGGTGTCCTGTGTTCGCTCAATTTGATCCTGAGGTCCAAGCCATGAGAAGAGTAATATCAGATTACTAAAGATGTTCGTCTGTGAGACTGCAGGGGTCACATGATCAAGGAACTAGGGAGTGAATTTGCTGTCGCAACGTGTCTATTTGTCTCGCGTTTCGTCTCCACAGTTGTACAGACCAACTATACGCACACCTATCTACACAACCCTTTTAGTGTTCGTCTCTGTCAAAAATAATACTACACTTATATTTACAACAATTAAATAGAGGTCAATTAAGCACTTGTGTGGTGACGAGTATTGGAATTTGATGCTAGGGAAAGTGGCAAAGCTTTTTAGTTGGTTTTCTCTTTTTTATTTTTTAAAAAGACAACAAATAAAAAAGGAAATTCATCCTGGTTGTTAAAAGCATGTCATGCCAAAAATAAATAAAGGTGTCGTTTTTTAAAAAAAGGGACAAGTAAGGAAAAAAGGAAGGAGGAGCAATGAAGAAGAAGAAGAGGAGGTCTGCGCAACAAGACCCCCCTGCGAAGAAGCAGCACAAAAAACAGCAGCAGCAGCAGTAGTAGTAGCAGAAGATGTAGAAGTAGTAGTAGTAGAAGTAGTGTTGGAGTCAAATTTCCGTGCTAGACATTGTTCCCAGGGTGATGTATCCAGGGTAGGGGCCAGAGATTCAGCTGGCTATCCCGATCTAAAGCGGCCTCAGGCCAAGAGTTTTAAAACCCTGACACTGTCAGAAACGGGTCTACAACCCACTGCTCTAACGCCACACGCACACTTCACTGATACACATAACACTGCAGCTCTTTATAAAACGCTGCAACTGGGATTCCGCATGTGCACTGATGAACATCTCCCAGACACACTGCTAGTCGGGCCAGGGGAGAAGATGAAGGCTGGGTGGGATAAAAGTGGAGTTGGGATGAGTGTGTCGCTTGCTCCCTTTCCTGTACTAATGCTGGGGTGTCTACAGAGCGTGTTTTATGTGCACGTATGTTAGTGTGCATGTCTCAGTAGCTGTTTTCATGGCCTGCCAGGATGTAGAGGTTGCTGTGGGCTGTAGGGTTGTCCGTAGGCCTGCTTTCCAGCACCACCACCCTGCAACACAAAACACACACGGAGATAAAACATACACACACAACATCTAGTTTAGTTTCAAGTCAAGGTAGCAAAACAATTCACCCTTTCCCAGACGAAAGAACAGCCCAGCTGGTTTTTTAGCGTGTTAAAACAAAACAAAACAAAACAAAAAATAAACGGGATATGGTCCAAGCTTGTAAAAACCCTGTTATTTGGAAAAAGGCAGTAGAGAAACATGACTTACTCTGAAGCTAAGAGTACTCTCCTAACCCGGAGGAAAACTGTGAGAAAGCTGTTAGTACTCTTTCAGAGCAACCCAAAGAATCACACATCACAACTTGAAGATACTCAGCCTCAGTAATGAGAAAACAGACACCAAGATGATCCAGCCTCTACACAAGTATGTCTGTTTTGGTGCTTTGTCAAGGGTCTACAACCCCAGCATTAAACTGAAAGAACTTATGGCATCTGACAGTTTAAGCAGGAAGGAATCAGACCAGATATAATTTTGGTGTCTCTTCTCTCATCATTTAATCAAAAAAATTCCCATATTTTCTCTCTCTGAATTTTCCTGATCACCATCATCTGGCATCAAGCAGGATTTGAAAGTTCTGATAGAAAGCGGCAGAAGTTTTGGGCCGTCTGTGGCCAGCGACCCGTGAGTGTACCTGGGAAGTTTGAGGCCTTTTTCCTCAGCCTCTTGCTCTCTACAGTCATCATGTCTTTAGTGGTGAGACATTAAAGAGAGTGTTAACAGAGACCTAAATGTGTGTCCATGTGTGTGTGACAGGTATGAAACTGTAAGGAAATGCTGGCAGGTAAGTGTTTCTCACCTGTCTGATCCCAGTAGTCTGAAGATGCGTGTGCTGTCTGAGATCTCCTGAGTGATCTGATGAAAGAAAGCAGAAGAGGTGCTAAATGATGCCGTAAAACACTGATGATCTGACTCAGATGTCTCATCAGACTTTTGCCAAATACTCACTAATGATTTAATATAAAGGATTAAGATTTTAAAAACTAATCTTAAAGACATTTTGCACATGAATAGTGCTAATAAAAACCCACAGAGACCGACAATGACCACTGATTATTCTTAGAGACTTGTACAAAATAAAACAAGAGACAAAACACTGCAACAGTTTAAAGTGGCGACAGCCTCAGTGAATGCAGTAGCAGAGTTTGGACCTGGAAGCACGGTTGATGCGTCATTGCTTAACAGACAGATAGTCAGAGTGGAGCGTTTTGACAGACTGTATGTGCATTTAATCCTGGTTTGCAACCATGTAAGAATGTGTAATTATGATACTATCCATAAGGCCACATAAATATTGGGTAGAAATGGAAACTGATACACCCTGTTATCCCTTGAATTACTGTGATGTGATTTTTTTGAGGCTATATTGAGCACCCACAGTAAGGCCCAAAATCCTAATAAAGTAAGATTAAATAAGACACCCTGATGCTGCGGACTAAACATTATTACAGCGCACAGAGGCCACCTGAAGAGCGTGTTTTACTCTTAAATGTGCTCAGTATGAATCTCACCTCATTAGTCTTGAAACTCCGTCCCTGCATGCCATGTCTCCAAAACGCCAATACACTGTCTTGGAGGCAAACTGGATAAAAAAAAGGAAAGAAAAAACCCCCAAAGAAAAACAATACGGATTAAGGTTTGTTTATAGATCAACAGTAACCCACTAGAAGATATCCATGCCATGTAGTCTTTCTGTTTTTGTTTACCGATGTTTTCAATCTGGAAGTTGAAGGTGAGCTCGGCTGACAACTTTCTGCTGGATTTCAACCGACCCTGGAGATTCACTATCTTTATACACCCTGTAGTAGGAAAAACAAAAAAAAGACAGAGGAAACAGTTTGGTAAAACTAATAAAATAAGTGATAATACCTTCTAAATCTGAACCTGAAAAGATCATAAATGGGTAAGATGAGTTAAAATCTATTAGCGACTCACTGTCGAGGCAGACTAGGATCGTGTCTCTCTCTAGCTGAGTGACATGGATCACACATGTCTGTGGGGTTTCTGCAGAGGAGGAGAAAAAGGCAGAGGATTACTTTGGCTCTCGTGCTGTTCCCACCAAAGAAAACTGTTATTGGTTTAACTTGACAGAGCCGGGCGGTGTTCTCACCTGCTTCTGTGAACCAGGAGGAGGTAGAGTTGGGATTGACTGTGCCAAATCGGACCACCTGGCTGAGTTCAGTTCCTTTACTGACTGCGACACAGATGAGAGGGTAGGTCTGTTCAGGGACCACCAACATTTCAAAGACCTCCAACGGACAGGGTAGTGGGAAGTCAATAGTCTGTTACATAGAAAAGGAAAAAAAGTTTAGAAAGCTATGTGTTGTATTTAGATATAATCATAAAATCATTTGACTGGAATCAGCTGAGCCATTTGCTGACTGACTGGCACTAATATCAGCTGATCTGCCAGGACTGCAGAACTTGTGGCCAAGCAAAATTAACACTGTGCTTGGCCTTTTCAAACTTTTGATCTTGAAAACAAAAACTGCTAGCATTGTGGAAAAATTTCTTGCGTGTGCAAATACTTATTTTCTTTCTTGTAACTGTGTAATAAAACGTGCTTAGGAAAGGAGCTTAAATTAAATGAACATTATCTTGATTTTTGGGGAGATTCAAAACTGACCTTGATGAGCATGAACTTCTGCATTGACTCCACCCACTCCAACAGCATGACACTTGACTGGAAGGCTCCACACAGGTACTTATGACCTGTGTATGGGTTACGAACTGCACAAAAACAACAACGGCCATGAATACATTTGAATTTTTCCTCTTTGCACAAAAATTATAATTCAGTGCTATTTTTTGTTCTGCACAAACACCACACAGGACAGTACAAGATAACACGAGGTAGTTTCATGCAACGAGTCCGAATTTGATACAGTTAAATAAAATTAGTCACAGAACATAATTAAAAAACAAAAACAGGTGTTCGACAAAAGAAAATATAAAATCAGCATTTACAGAAACTCACCTACGCAGCACTTTTGGCACCCTTTAGTCTCTGGAATCTTATTGGACACAGCAAACTTCCTATAATAAAGAAATATGATCCAAATATAGAGCTGAACTGGCACAAACTTCTGGTTTTATTGAAAACATATTTAAATTAGTTAAAATAAGCAGGAGTGACATTTAATTTATGCAGGGGGAAAAAACTACAAGGAAACAGAGGCTATAAATATTTCACAGCTTAGATTTTCTAGTTGTAGAGTTACCTGGGAATTATCTTATCAGGCAGCTTGTGCGTGGGAATGGCTACTGGTAACTTCTGTAACTGTCTGGCCTGTTCAAACATACCGCTTAGACTATGGGAGTACAGCTGAGAGGCTTTTCCTGCAATGAAACAGGATATAGAAGAAACAGTTAAAAGGAAATAATAGTAGTGACCTACGATACAAGCTACAAAAGCATATTTGAAGAAATAAAACACATTGTATCAAAAATCATGCGCCGATGATCCAATTTAAGAACAATTTCAGAGACAAATGGGTGAAAGTAATAAGAGCAGTCAAGTGCCACACACTTCTATCATAATGATGTTCGACAACTCACCAGATATGGAAAGAAGACAGTTGTTCATGACATATAACCAGGTACACCGCCGAGGGAAGAGCTGCAGGTGGACACAAAGTAATCTGAGCATCTCAGAGTGCCAGAACATTTAAAACAGTCTGATTCAAAGACTGGACTATCTCACATGTATAACATTACAACTAAGATACCCTGTTTTCAGAAAGTATATAGCATTATGTTAAATTATCCGATTTCTAGTCTCACCTGTTCCATTGTTGTCTCATGTAGCTCATTGAGGTTTAATGTGTAGATTCCCTCTTCTGCTCCGAATATCAAATACTGGTCTGAAACGCACAAAAGAGCATTTGATCCGTGCTTAGTGAAAAGTGAAAACAACACCTGTAAAATAAACGTTGATAGTGTTTTCCTGTTGGTTACCTCTGGTGTCAGGGTTGATCCACGAAGTGGCACAGTGGATCTTGAGGGGACAGCCGTTGAACACCTTGGAGAAACACGCACCCATCTGGAAACGGGAGAAAAAGAAAGAAGTTCAAGATTATTATTTTTTAATTTAAAGGATTCGGAGACCTTGTGATCTAAATGCCTTTAGTGAGACACTCCACACTAAAAAGTAATATTTTAACTTGCTTATGGATTCGTTTTCCATTTTTTTCCAAATGAGTAAATTCATTTCATTTAATATTTTGCACATAAAAAAAACTTTTGTATAGGAACAAAAAGATCCGCAATGCCAAGAAGTCTTTACAACACTAATTCAATTAACTCAACTACATTATTTTCTCTTAAAAACAAACAAACAAAGCAAAAAAGACCCATACTTACATGGACTTTGGGTGTTGGGGGGAGACCATTACTGATTGGCTTCTAAGGAAGTGATAAACACAAACACACATTAAAAACATCAATAATAAAATGACTGGATGATATATATGAGCATAACAACCTGTATATATAAAATGTATTCTCCCAGCAGATAGTCTATAGTGCACTTAAAACATGCTTTAAATAAAAGAATTGTAGCTGAATTAGCTCACTAAGCTATTAGTCATAGTTTGAAGTACACCCATCTGGTGCTTCAGTTTGACAAGTATGTAGATGAAGCTATCTAGGTGCATAACTTCTCATACAGCACTCCTCTAAACTTTCTCAAGGGTTGAACATTATGGAATTTATTTTCCCCCTGATTTATAATCCATTATTGACTTGGGAGATGCCCAAATTCCACTTCTTCTTTAAAAAACAGTGATGATCAGCAAGAGCTGCAACAGCAACAAAGGACAGGATCCTTCACTGGCTTTGCACTGACAAGAACACTACCCAATACATTTCACCTGACTTGGCCTTTCTTCTCCACACAGTGTTATGCCGATTATTAATAATTTTAACAATGGCAGCACTCTGCATCCTCCCTCAAGACCTCTGTGGGTCCTTGAGCCACTCCTGCATGCTTACCGGAACATCCTTCTTGTCCTTCCGTATGGGGACACTAGGTGGCATGGTGGACTGCCTCTCTGCTGGGCTGGCCCTCTCGCCATTGTGGGGAGAGTTCAGCCCATTACCTACAACAACAACAACAACAACAGACACAACAGACACAACTTACTGTGTTTGAGTGACACAGGAAACAGAGAGAGCGGGTAAGAGACAGAGAGACTGTGTGTGCGCATGTGAAGCTTTGAAAACAAAGAAAGCCAAAATAAACATGACGCATCTACAAAAACACTTGATTTAATGAGAACAATTTAATTTATAAGACTAAAGACAGCAAGGAGTGTTAATATTAAAGAGTAAACAAAAACAAGCTATTGGGAGCAGAGAGGGGGGGGAGGAGGGAAGGAGCAGGCCAGCAGGAAGAAAACAGAGGATCAAATATGGTCATGATCGAGGGGGAGTGTGAATGCACCACAAACTGCAGTCAATTATTGATCAGTTTCTCTCCTTTACTACCCCAGCGAGTAACCAGCGAATGACAGGTAGTAAACGGCAAAACCATTTGAGCTACGCACGAATGTTGCTTCCTGTCGTGATTAGAGCCATAACCATATCGTCAAAGACAGTTCAACTTTCACCTGAGCGTGCCTACAGCACTATGCTTTCAATCTACTGAACTGTTATTATTTCCAAAACACCATGGTTAATATATCTACCATATACTGCTTATTAAATGTAACACTTTACTGTAAAAGCTTCCAAAGCGCAATCAAAAAAACTAGAGAAATAAACTTAAAAATATGCAGGATCTACATTCTCTGTGCAAAATCAAAAAGGCAAAAATAATATCCAAAGAAGCATATCCCTGTCCTGAGATTAGGTCATAGGTGGCAGCAAAGTTTAATTGCTCAACTTATCCACTTCCAAGTCAGAGTAACACTATATAACACAATAATAAAAAAAAAAAAAATCAGAGCATGACTGAGATACCCGAAATGCTCAACAACAATGCAAACATTTAAAAGGTACACTAGAATGGGGATTTAGTCACTTGCCTAAAGTATAAAACGGGATTACAAACTTTTATGAAATTTGGCATTTCTGTTACTGCTTAATAAGTTCAGTTATAATTTGGCATCTGTAAACTAGTATAAAGAAACATGAAACAGCAAATTTAACTAAAAAACACTTCATTGTCAGAATGTCTACAACGACATATTAGGACCACTAAAGGCCAAAAAAGGGGGGGGAAAGAATAATTGGAGAACAATGAAGGGCTTAATATTCTGAGAGTTAAGAAACTACTTTGAGATTAAAGTTGGAAACTTAAAATGTAAAAAAATAAATAAATAAGTTATATTTGAGCTTTTGAGATCCATGCCTCACGTGAAAATCTAACAACACAACAGCTCATTTTCATGAAAACCTTTAACCTCCACTGACCCTAATAGGCCGCTTTTAGAAAGTGAGAGCTGACAATGCACAGAATAATTTTTTGTTAAAAGAATCAAAACTGGACCAGTCAGCCAGGACTATGTTTTCTCCTCTTCCTTTGTCCTAAGAAGCGAGGGGGAGTGGTTTAGCAGCATTTGATTGTTTGGATCACTGGATTGGATGAACCAATCAGTCTTCACAAAAATGACTTTAGAGACAAACAATCATGTTGAGCATGAGCTGATGAACGGAAGAAACAAAGCAAATAAAAACTTTTAAAAAAGCATTACTGTTAATGGAATCATGGAACAAATAAATCAGACTACAAGGAAAGACTAATGGAAGACCACACAACCAATCGCAGGGGACGACAGGGTCTGCGGACACTACCCAGCTACCAAATCAGCTGCTCTTACTCTCTTTCTTTTCCTCCTGTTTTTCCTGCTCCTCTTTCACCTCCTTGAGAACCTCCCATGCCTCCTCCAGCTCCTCCTCTGTGTGAGGCGTGTGGAGCCACTCCCAGAAATGCCTAAAGCTCCCATCATCCTCTGTGGCAGAGTTTTCGACGTCTTTGAGCTTCGGGCTCTCGTTACCTAGGCTACTGCGGCGGTGGGGCGGCAGCTTCGGGGGCGGGGGACGCGGGGGGACATAGGAGGCGGGCTTGGCGGGGCTCGGCGTCTCTGGCACTGGGCAGCGCTTGATGGTCCCTCCCCCTCCACCGTCATCTTCACTGTGTGAGTGGCTGTCGTCGTGTTTTTGATCCGTCTGATTATGGGGTGAGGAGATGGATTTGGGCTTAAGAAGAAGAAGAAGAAGAAGAAGAAATAGATTGTATAAGAAATCAGTTACTTATTACATATTCTGAGCACTAAAATTGCTACTAGTTCAAAAATTCTGCTAACTACAGACACGGTTTTTCCTACCTTAGGAGGAAGTGGGGGTGGGACCCTTGGCCTCATGATGGTGCTTGATTTACTGAAGAATAAGAGGGAAAAATCTGTGACAAGATACTCAAGACAGCTGCCGTTTTTTTACAACCAGGAAATATATGGGAAACAATAAATATATGTTAGAATGTTAGCACTGAAGCTATGGTTTGACTTGCCATTTTTAAGCCATTTATAAGCTAAGTTATTACATTCAACGCATAATTACAATCCAGAGTTTTTCTTAAAAAAAACAAACAAAAAAACCCAAACCCAACCATTTTATTGGAAATAGAAAATAAAATTGTCGGATTTGTTTTAAAAATAATCGAAAAAATATGCTGACACGTTTATGAACCCAGATCAGATGAGATGTAATATTTTGCAGGCTCACTGAATGTGAAATCAAAGGCTCAAATAACAGGTTTAACCACAGCCCAATGCCACTTACACACAAACTGATATAATAGAAAGGTCATTAAAGGTTAACCACGAAATATAAAGTAAGACAAGAACTTTAGACAACAGTAAAACAAAGAAGGGTCAGCGTGTGCAAAGCCTCTGAATGGATAGCGCTGATACTGACAAACTTAATAATATTTTAGTAAAAGTATTACTTTTAAAATTAAAATTTATGTTTAGTGTAAATAAATTAGAGTTTGTGTCTTGCTCTCATTTAAAGCACCTTAAAATCTTTTTTTTAAAGGAAAAGAAATAGAAGAGTAATTGCAATTATGCCTTCCGACCAGCACAATTTCAGAGACTTTATCCATGACATTTTATAAATGTTGTAGTTAAGTTATGGACAAGAACCAATCACAGCACACAAATCAGAATGGAGAGAGGCTGGGAGCCAATCACAGTGAAAAATGAAGATGGGGGTACCAAGAAAAGAAGTTGCAGTATTTAAGCTGAGTGGGAGACACAGAAAAAGATTACCCCCCCTTAAAGAAGCTTAAAGTGTAAACTTTATCAGTACAAAACTAATCTGTGACTGACATAGTTTACACATTCACTTAAGGTGGTAAACCACGCATGGGTGCAGTACGCATAAAAGCATCTCTAAAGAAAGCAGGAAGAAAGCAGCTCTCTTAGAATGCACTGATGCTAAACACAAGGCTGGTGATAAGGACTATGCAATCAGATTATGACCAAAATATGGAAGCCCGTTTCCACCACTAAAAAAAAAAGAAAAAAGTATCCACAACTCTAAATTTCGAGTTATTTTCCCTTATCAACTCGAAATTCTGAGAAAAGTAACTTGAGTAAATTTCGAGTTAGCTCTACCAATCAGTAATCTACATGAATGATGTCATTTTCTTGTACCTGGAAGGATATGGCGCAGAGGAATGCGCAGTCAAAACCGTATCGCAACAAACTGGTGCTTTTGAGAGTACGTTTGCTGATAGTAACGCCATGTGATTCAGCTAACAGCACAAGGATTTCATCATTTGTGAAGCCACGTTGAAAATACTCAGCAATTTGTGCATTCATGACTTACTTACTGGTAGCTTAGCTGTAGCATTTGTAGCTGAGGGCTTCAGCTTCCGGGTAACAAGGAAATGATGTCATTCACGTAGATTACTGCTTGGCAGTGCTACTTTTCTTGAAATATCAAGTTAATAAGTCAAAATTTCGAGTTATGGATACTTTTTTTTTTAACCAAAAAACACCAACAAAGCTGAAATCATAACTTTAAAACTTTAAAATGCTGGATGTGCAAAAGGGAATTTATTTGCAACTGAAATTATTTTAAGATGCTTGAAAAGAAACAAAATCTATTCGAATTTTTGATACCTACACTAAAGATTTTCAAAATTTAGTGTCTATGTAATCCAAATGCTCCTAACTTTAACTTTTACTCAGTAACTAAGTTGATTTGGGGACCATCCGTTGGTCGTCAAGTCTGGATGTGAAGGCTTAAGCTGAGTGTTTTCGTGATCAGCAACAGTTTGTGTTCTCAAACTAAACTGGAAACTGAGAAACCAACGGATACTGTACGCTCACTGGCTACAGACTTGTCAATGACAAGCACACCCAAGTTTATCATCCTTTCTCACACTAAAATGCTAATGAATTAACATCATACTTAATCAATAAAACTTAATAACGCTTCATCGAGTCTCCAGTTTAATTAATGTCTAACGTCTCAAAGCAAAGGAGTCAAAAGTGTTATTTTTCCATAGATTTGTATAAAACTGGAAGCCCTTTTTGGAACCAGAAGAGTCACAGCAGAGTGCAGGTTCAAGTCATCGGCTACACCAGGGGTAGGCAACTCCAGGCCTCGAGTGCCAGTGTCCTGCAGGTTTTAGATATCACCCTGGGTCAGCACACCTGAATCAAATGATTAGTTCATTCCCAGGCCTCTGGAGTTCTTCATGACATGTTGAGGAGGAACTTTAGCCATTTGAATCAGCTGCGTTGGATCAAGGACACATCTAAAACCTGCCGAGCACCGGCACTTGAGGCCTGGAGTTGCCCACCCCTCGGCTACACTTTCTCTATATTGTTTACATAGAGTCTGAGGGACTAAATATTTTTGTTCCTTTGTCTGGAAGAAATTTCCTTTTTTGTTTGGCTAGAAGATTTTGTTTTTTATCGCTCTTAAACACCTTAAAAAAAAAAACCTTGAGAGAAAAAAAAAAACCCTCCCCCCCACCACAACAGAAACTACAAAAGCTAGAAACTGCTACAGCACAACAGGTTGCAGCCACTTTAGGAATTCAGGTTATTTTCATTTGTGCAATCACAGCACTGTGTGTTGTGGATATGACTTGAAGGGAAAATCCTATAATATAAAGCACAAAAGGCCTCTCTGACTGTGGTGGAAAATATCTGTCTAGAAAAAAGGGGGGGAAAAAGACTCTGGCCTGCCGCAGACATTTGGCTTTTACACTGAGGGGAGAGGCTGGATGCCAGATCTCCAGTTTTATAGAGGCAAGATAAGACAGAAGGCAGTGTGATCTCACACACACTCATACACACACAGAGCAAGAAGGAACACAGATGGCGAAGCCAGTAAAGAACAAAACAAGACAACGGCACACAAGAGGACAAGGTCATGAGCATCAGTTATCTAAAGAATGAAACTGAACTCAGGCTCAACGATCCATATAGATCATGTCAAATCTTTAGCTATAAAGTATATTTTAATGCTGTGTTGTTTGCGTGACACCTACACTTCTCCATTTATTACATTTCTACTACTGAAAGAATATATGAGGAAATATCAATAGCCTCTTGGTGAACATTTAGGGTTAGGGTTACTGTTAGTAGCTTTAAGAAAGCGTGGACAACACACAGGCAGCAGGCACACACACACAAACAGGTGGCGTATGTGGCGTGATGGTGGGGTGTGCTCCATAAAGATGTGTGGATGAAACTGGCAAAGGTAGGAAGCCTTAACTCCTTGTCTTCCTTCTCAGTCTTTCCTCTGAAACAAGTGAGGGAAAGATGGGAAAAGAAGAATTTGGAGAGGCTTCCAGTTCTAAGACTGAGAGGGAACTTACTGAGTGTGAGTTTCATCATCATCTGCACCATCATCATCCTCATCCTCATCATCCCCTAAGTGTGCCACATGGCCCCTGGGAGAGGAGGTGAAGACAGGAAGGGGGGCGGGGAAAGAAAGGACAAAGAAGGAGTGGGAGAGGGGGCATAAGGAGGAGTGATCAGGGGAGAAAGGGAGCAAGCAAAGGAGATAGGGGATGACAACAGAAGGCAGAGGCAGAAGAGGACAGAGGAAGAAGGGGGAAGGGGAGGGAAAGCTGAGTGAAGCTTGGTTCACAAACTACTTCTGAACTCCTGACCCTGTGCAGATCTGAAAGGACTGAATAGGTTCAAATAAAAGCATGACCCAATTTTTACTGCGATCCACAAAAATCAGCAAAATGACTCATCTGAACAACCAAGAGAAACGGTCTGAGGGCTAATTACTTCCACAACCAGACACTTCCAAACCCAGCGGTCCCGTTTGAACCATTAAGTCCTTATAGATCTACACACGTCAACAGTAAGCGTAACCTTTTAAATCATATTATATATTATATTATATCAAATTCTCAAATACTGGTAAAAGTCCTTTCATTATCCCAAGGACAGAGAAACCCGGCCTTTGTTTGAAACTCTCTCTATCCTAATGTTTTACATATCAGGAGATAATAAAAATAATTTGGCCCTTAGCATGTCTTAAAAATGGGTAAATATAACCTCTGATGAACAACAACACATAACATATTAAACCATGTCATAATTTTAATACAAAATACCAAAGCAGTATGTGAAGGACTAAGTACGCCGTTACTGCTTCCACAACAATTAAAAGAGTGTAGATACCAGGTGCTACTAATTAAATGCACTTGAATATATGATGATAAGCAAGCATGAGCACCTTCAAAAAAGTAAACGTTTAAAAGCTTGCTAATCGTCCCAGGAGTGGATGCAGGTTCACCCAAAGCTCAGATCATGCAAGGCTCGGAGAAACTGCAAGAAACCCCAAGAGCTTCACCTCAGGTTCTACAGCACTCAGCCTGCATGTTAAACATCAAAAGTTCATAACACTACAATCAGGAAAAGACTGCTCAAGTGTTGCTTGTTTGAAAATGTTACCAGGAGAAAACCTCTTCTTTCTCCTGGCAAAAAAACCCTCCAAAACAAAAACATGGCAGTACAGCTTAGGTTTGCAAATTTGCATCTGAACAAACCACAAGACATTCCAACCAATTTTCTTTGGACAGGTGGGACCAAAGTGTAGATGTCTGGCCATAACGCACAGTTCTACATTTGAAGAGATAAAAACAAAAAAAAAGAAACACATGCCCAATGATGACCTGGGCTTACTTTGCAGCCAGAGGACCCGGGCATCTTGCAGTCATTGAGCCAACCATGAACTCATTGGTATGCCAAAGGATTGTAGAATCAAATATGGTAAAGCTTGGCCACAATTAGGTCAAAAAAACAGGACAGTGATCCCAAGCACAGAAGCATGACTAAAAAACAAAATCAAGGTGTTGCGATGACCCAGTGAAAGTCCAATCCTGACTGAAAAGCTGTGGTAGAACCTTAAGATAATAATATGAACTTAACAATGGCCACAATGATGTGAGACACTGATGAAGTCATACAGAAAACAACTGCTTCAAGTTATCGGTGGTAAAGGTGGCTCCAGATGCGGTTCACTTAGTGTTTCACGCACTTCCTTTGGTTTCGTCTTAGTTTTTGTTAAATAAATAATGACACATCATACATCACGTGTTGCTGTTCATCAATTTAAAACATCTGATAAGGTTATTTTTCATATTTATTTAACGTGACTATACATGTAAAAACCTCAAAGATGTTAAGTAACCCTTTGATCAATAAAGGAGCCAAAAAGACAGAAAACCTGGACGTGTTAAGTTCCAAGTAAAGCCACAACATTTTGTAGCCTTAGATGTTTTAGCCTAGAGACAATAATGCTAACAAGCAACCATCCAGCAGACCTGCTATTAAGATTTGCTGTTTAACATCTAAGGGAAATATTTAAGACAACTTTGTACCTGATGCCTAATAATGTACAAGCTAATCTAGAGTTCAGTGAAACACATTTTTCATATCAGACTTACTCACCAAAAGTAGCAAAGCACATAAATAGCAATCATTATCTTTTGAGCAGTGAAGAGGAATTTCTCCATAGAAAATGAAACCCAGTGGCTAAAACTCTATGTCCATATGTGTGACTGCACACATGAGAATGTGCATGTTTGTTGGTGTGTGCGTGCACGTGTGTGTGAGAGCCATGCGCTGCAGGAAGCTTCTGTGAAGCGCAGCCATTTCCTAATGAGAACAAAGCAAGAAGCAAGCCTGAGAGGAAATAAAACCCAGCAGAATCCAAAACGCCGAGAGCAGTGAGACAGCCTGAAGTAATTACTATAGCATTAGTTGCATGTGATTGGCCTCATTAGTCCTGCCGTTAAACAATGATTGGCTCATGGGTAGGCGTGGTTAGAGCACCAGCAGATCCAAGACACTGAACGTGGACGCCAAAGTGGAGTAAACTCACCTCTGCTGCAGCTCCTCCTCCACCGATTTGAGAAGACTCCTGTTTGACAAGTAGGAAAAGCACAAATGACAGAATAAAAAGAAAGACAAAAGTACCTAGGTTTTGATTTTGTGTATCAAGAATAAAATCTTAGTCCTTCCCAGTCTAGAGGACATTCTGCTGTGCTTATCTGAACCTCAGCTTTCTGCTTACAATGCATGCTTGTGAGCAGAAAGCTGCATACAGACAGTGTCATAAAGTTGGCACAGACTTTGAAATGCACAACAGAAAATCTCTTCACATTCCAAGTCTCCTTATTGTCTACATCCTCGCTCAATCTAGACATTAAAATTTTCTTTAAAAAAAAATAAAATAAAATGAAGGATAGCTGCAACCGACAATGAAATAAAAGAAGAGAATCCAGGGGGAGGTAAATGTTTAAATACAGAAAATAAACAAGCCAGACTTACTTGTTTCCTCCCAAAAAACGCGATGAATCTTGACCGTATTCCAGCTGCAAATCCTACAAGACAAATTAGATTACAACTGTGACATAACCCTTCATAAATAGTTCATTTATACATATATTAACAGGTGCTGTAGATCTTGGCCAACTGAGGCAGTAAACCACGTTTAAAGTTGTGGCCATCACTGAAGCCCTTTTCAGTTGCCAAATGAATGCAGACGCTGCCACTGTAGCAGCTGTGGTGACCGTTACAGCAGCCTGCTGGAAATCATACCCACAATAAGAAGCTCTTTCACCTGAAGTATAATTCATAACCACAGACATTCACAGATGTATATGGTGAGCATATGGGTATTTATAGTTATACAGAGCTGACACTTGCTGAACTCACATTGTGGTCCAATACTACATATATTAATCATCGGGCGTTAGCCACAAAACAAGCCTGGCATTTGACACATTTAGGAAAAGGACCAATAATTAGGTGCACACCAAGTAACTAATTTCAATGTCATCATTAAACAATGATGAAAAGAAACATTATCATCCTACTCATCCTGCTAATTTTTGCTAGTACTGGCTTCACAGATAGAACACAGAAGTTGTTTCCAAAAAGTGGTTCCCTGTTGTTTGGGCTTGTGAAACCCTAAAATTTTGCATTATGGTCTCATGCACTGACTTGTTGTTGAGTCGATGACTTATTTTCTAGATGACACAAGTTCCTTTTAGGTCACAAACAGGTGAAAACATGCACTATTTCACAAAACAGTTGAGGGAAAGACAGAAAATGTAACATGCTGTCGGTTACTGAAGTTACCAGCTATGAATTAACCCAGAAACCTAAACTCCACTAAAATCCAATCCAAGAAATACAGGACAGTAGATACGTTAATCATTTTTATTAACTATCATTAAATAGGTTTCACTAATGTAAAATATTGTAGTGCGGTGGTTGTGATGTGCTCCTTGTCCTTTCGATTGAACATTCTGTTACTACTGTTGACTGCAGTTACAGTATTTTTGTATTTGGAAACATGACTAAACGAAAAGGTTTTATCTTCCAAACGCATTCAACACCTCTAAAGGAGGCATATAATGTTAAAATCGGATTTTCTCAATTCATTATCTTTGTCAAAATAGTCACAGTAACAAGATAGAAATAAGTCTCTCTGCAATATCTAGACAGCAGTACTTCTATTGGTCAAGTTTATCTAAAGCTTTGCTCTTTTGTGTTGACTTCTTGGGTAAAATGACAAAAAACACAAATGTATGACAGAGCCTGAAGCCATAACTTTACAGAAGCATGCACAAAGAGCAACTACAAACTTATTTCTAATATTATTATATGTCATTACTAACATATTTGTTTTCTAAATCAATCAAACAATCAATACATATTTTTAGTGACACCTAGGGCTGTGCGATATGACCAAAATCTCATATCCCGATATAAGACATCTGTCGTCCCGATAACGATATAAATCACAAAAATGTAACATTTTCTGTAAATTCTGTGAATCTCGGGCAGCTCGTCTTGCGGGAAGTGTTTCCAGCTGCGCGTCATGTAGCTGGAGTCGAGTGTTTTAACCGATGCATGAAACTACACATTTTTAGACATAAGTTTAACGGCCGCCGTTTTCTTTGTGAGTGTTTATTACACGGCGTGCTGCGGGGAAAAGCCTGTTCTAACGTTTGAGTCTAAGGTTTATTTTTTTTAGCACCTGGCGGCTCTTTTTTAAATTCTCATCATCTGCTCTTTCACGTGATTCAGTTTATTTTGAAAAGTCTCAACAGGATCTTGACCTTTATTGTGAAAGGTTTATATGGAACATAAACAAGCGGACACGAGATGGTGTTACCGTCGTTGTTGCTAACCACAACGCATAAAAACAGGCGCTTGTCCGTCCGTAGTGTGGTTATATTAAATATAAGAGAAAGAGAGAAAGAAGAAATGAATATAGCCACTACAGTGACCGTCAAAAGGATGAAAAAATATTGCCGTAAACAGTTTATTTTGCAACACCACGAAACAAACGATAGCGTAAAATGAAACGATAGACGTTTTTATATCGTCATCCGATATATATCGTTATATCGAACAGCCCTAGTGACACCCCTAATACAAAGTATCTTTAGTACAGTAAAGTACACCAGTAACTCTTTGGAGCAGTTATCAGATACATTGGTGGACCCCTAAGTGGCTCGCAAACCGTGGATTGGGAACCAATGTTTTAGATAACTTTGGTAAGAAAAGTGTTATGTTGTCATAAAGCACATTTGAGAGTGTGCGGGCTAATAAAGAATCAGTTGTGCAGATTTTATGATTCTGCAGGCTGACAATAAATTCAGCACTATGACAACGGTCCTGAATTTAAATCAACTAATGAAATTCTGGTTGGATATCGGTGACATAAAAACCACAATGTGAATGCAGCATCTTGTCAGAGAAATATTTTTGAATGTTACGCCTGAAAGCAAAAAGCATGCAAGAGGAAATGCGCACTCCAGATGAGCAGACACAAAGCACCAATGCTACAAAGAAACTACAAAGAAACACGCATACTAACAGACAAAAAACAAAGCAAAGGACAAGGCCTCGCTACTCTGGTTAACTACAAGAGGTTAGAAAAACATAAGCAACACTTTACAAATGAGAGAAGCGCATTCTGTGGAAACATCAGAAATATGGAAAAGAAATATTGAGTACCATAGAACACACATTAAAAGTGTATGTGTTAATAAATTTGAGCAGACATGCCTTTTATATACTTTAAATCTCCTTTAGATGTCCTTGAGCAAGGCACTGCACCACTACCAGCCTTTAGAGCTGCAGCTCCATTGCTGAACCTGATATATCTTCCTCTATATTAAAGCCTTTCTTGAAGTAAGTCTTACGACTTGGCAGGTATCTTGGCAGTCATTTTGAAGCACTTTACTGACACATAAAAACTGCATGTCCAGTTAAATCTGATTTTAAAAGGAGAAAATACTAGAAAAGTTAGCCGACTTTCCCCAAAATATGCTTTTCCCCCCTGGAAGCGACCCTTCTGTCACAATTCTTCAATACATCTCAACTAGACATTTGCTGAGTAACATGCCTCTCCACTGTAGTGTCCCTCCCTGTGTTTATACCTCTGTGTGCCAATCTGTGTGTTTTATGCATATATGAGAAACAACAACAACAACAATAGCACTAACGACTCTAATCACTATGACAACTACAACACCAGCTCGTGAGGCAAAAGCTGAAGCTGGAAAAAGAAGATAAAGATGGGCAGTAACAGACGGGTGGACTAGAAGAGATGGATCAACAATGTGAAATAACAAATATACAAGTTGGACATCGAGCAGCCGAGAGATTCAGAGCTCTGAAAAAGGACAAAAGTAGGACAAGGACTCATCCTTCAGAGTTTAAGAATGAGCAAGATGGAGAGAAAAAATTAAATTATATTTTAAATAAAGCATGACGTTAAAAATTGACAGACTGAAAATAAATGGGCCAACAGCTGGAGAGATGGAGAGGCTGAAACAAAGAGAGACTAAAGGTGTACTACCAGATTAGATCTTGCTGTATAGTAGAGCTCCTCAACACAGTCCAGATAGGGCTCAGAATCACACTGGTCAGCAAGACAGAGCGAGAGAGACCTCAGTTAATACATTAACCTGTCCTGGACTAATGGTGGGGAACAGGTAGGAATGGTGATATGGAGGGAAGGGATGACTTGTGAAAAATGAGTTTGGGTTAAAGCTGTGTCCACACTGGAAATGATTCGCTCGTCGCACATCGCTTTCAAGCTGGTGGCTCATCGCTTTTAGACATTCCAGGTTCCGGTTGTCTAAGTTACTCTCTATAGTTTACTACCAGGTCAAATGTCAGTCAAGGGTATTCTTCAGTCACTTGCCTGGAAGTTGGGAACAGTTTATCTTGTGTCCCGCCCACTTCAACTCGGCAAGAGTTAAGTTGTCTTTATTTGCTTCAAGTCGCCAAATGTCATTCTATTTCTATGGGTCACTATGAATCACTTCCAGTGTGTACGTAGCTTAAGGCCATTTTTATTTAGTTTTTAATAGGTGCTTGACTTGGCAAGAAAAGGATAGAGTATATTTGAATAATAATCTCAAGAGAGGAGGAGACAGATGTGAGTTTAAAACATAGATGGAGGTTTGGAATGGAGAGAAAATAATAAACTGTGCTACAACAGCATATATGTGAGCCTACAAAATATAAAGTTAATAAGGGTATAATAAGGGTACTTTTCATAACATTCTACATACAAATTAAACAACTAATGGTAGCCAGCTGTATTCTGGGTAGTATTTCCACGCATGCATTTCTCACTCATCATGGGTATGGATGTCCTGGTACGTTTAGGCTATTAACATTTTCTTTGAATCATGCTGCTAAAGTGTAATTTAAATGAGTTCTTCCAATTTTGACAAGAAAAATGGTCAAATATTCAGCCAGAAGACGGTTGATGGATACCAAAAGGTCTGACTTGCTAAGGGACATTTATCCATATATTAGTGGGTGTGTATGTATACTTTAGAACCTGTGTGGATTAAAGAAATCCAAAAATATTTCAAACTTGTGCACTCAATCCTTGCTTTGTTAAGTTATTAAAGACATATGCTGTACAATCATTTCATCCTGGAAAGAGAACAGTTCATGTTAAAAGCCAGAATTTACCAAGTTATTCAAGCCCATGATGAGTGTCCGTAAACTTGTGATCAGCGTTTTAGAGGTACTTTCTGTTACTATGGGTCTGTTTGATTTTTGGCCACTATTGTAAAAAAAAGAGAGAGAAAAAATACTTGCACAGAGTCTCTTTTGATCAAAATATTATAATATGAATGCTAAAACAGCATGGCAGTCCTCACTGGATGGATCTTGGAGCTACATGCTAAAAGCTAAAATCTACACATGTCACAAGACAAATGTAATGCAAGTTGCCAGAGTTCCCTTGAAAAGAGAGTAGAAATTTAATGGACAAATGAATGATTGTTGATAAATGATACAGATCATATGAGGTTAATATGATAGCATTAATCTAAATTTATAGATCAAAAGATAAAGAGACGACAAAATAAAGGTTTGGTTAGATTTTTTGGTGAACTATCAAAGACAACTTTAAGAGGGTGGGGACAGTGGAAGACGTGCAAAGAAAGGACAAAAGGTGAAAAGGAAGTCGGGGAGCAACATATACTGGGAAAAAATATCAAGAAATCATAGCTCTGCCAAAGATTTTTTTAAAGAACCTATGCTAACTTTTTGACCAAAACTGAGCATAATCTGACCAAGATCAATTACAAATTTTATGCAAATGAAAGCCAAGAACACGACTTTTATTCTACTGAGTTCTGTCCAACCAGTAGCGAAAGAAAGCTACTACTGACAAATCACACCTGTGTTTGTCAAACAGCAATAACAAGAGGTCTACAGTTACAACTTCATTAAAATGAATCCATAGAGCTGTTTATCCAGCTGGGTTGTGTATTTTAAGCTACTGCAATAACACTGTTCAGCCACAGCCTTCAGGGTTTGGTGAATCCCAAAACATTCCAGATCAAATTGGACTTTTAATTCCTCCAGCAAGCACAAGATCCACCAAAGAGAGTAGTCTCTTTACGATATATTCACAACAGCCTGCTGGTTACTGTAAATCTGATTTTATATGCAACTGGGCATTAGATTTCTGCCAATTCTGTTGTTATACCCATATAATAATTAGCGAAACATGCCATTCCTAAACCTTAGAATATTTAACTAGGATTGGTTCAACACAGACAGAGAAAAACATAGATTGGTGGAGGTGCCATGTGTGATTAGGTGAGGGACAGCCAAGTTGGTACTGGTTAATTAACAACCACACAAATCTCATCTCATTCGCACACATACAAACATAATGTGATCAACTCACCGGTTCATGATGAGGTTGTGTCTCCTTTTCCAAAAGACTATCAAACTTCACTTGATCGACTGAGAGAGGCAAAATAAGAGAGAGGGGAGGATGGGAGAAAGGGAATATCATGAGGTAGGGAGATATATATACTGAGTAAGATTATTGAAGAAGGAGGAAAAAGATACTAAAGACATTGTATTTATTCACATTGACCTTTTGTAGCAACTCACATTTCATCTCGGACAGTGTTTTTCCTTCTCTGGTGCTCCTGCTGGTGGAGCGGATACGATAAGGAACCGGGGACTATCAGGAAATAAAAAGAAGAGCAGACAGTGTCAAAGCTGCTCTGGACACTCGGTGTAGTGGTTTGCACTAGATTTGGAAAGATCACAATAGGTTTAAGAACAAAAACATAATCCCACTGCTATTTCCTGTGGGTGGGATTTGATGACACAGCAAAAACAGAGAGTCACACACACACACACACACTGCAAGAACCAAAACAAACAACAGCAACACAGTCAGAGGAAAAACACGCATCCACCCTTTTGGTTCCAAACACTGGATACCTGTAAGCTGTAAAGTCCTCTTTACATTGGAAGCTTTATAACAGAGAGATTGTCACACAGTATCTCATCATCATCATCTGATGATCTACATTCGTAATACAAGCGGAAAAACAGGGTTTAAATGCTGAAATGGAAAACGGTACTTAGTTATTTTATATGTCATGAGTGCAGCTGGCCATTCTTATTTTGAACCACAGTTATTGTTAATTTAAAATAAAATCCAAACTCCATCCCACAGAAATCTAATGACACAGCAACCTCAGTGCATGCTTATGAAGCACTGGAAGACAAACCAAGACTACAAAAGACCATGCATCAATCAAAGCAACATTTAGAACTCGGCTCCTCCAACAGACATTTTTGTTTGCTTGTTTGCAATTATTCTCATAGTCCATTCTCATTAGACACAAACCACGATTAATACCTGAAAGGTTAAAGACAGGTGAAGATGGCGTCCATAGCTATAACACTTTAGCAACCTACAGCCTTTTGGCCTTCCACAACACTACATTTTCTTTTGTCTAATATTTGAAACATCAACATGTTGGAGGGTTTTTTTTCCATGAGTTTGTGTATGAATTTAATACTTAAAAACATAATTCTAGAGAGAGTGACAATGTGATATTTTTGAAGCCATCTTTATGAATTTAGGCATTTCTTTATCATCCCAGGTGCTACAGAACTGAAGTGAATGGAAAAGATCCTTAGTGATGCTATTTATGCGTTTTTTCCACTAGCAACCGCTCAAGTTGACTTTTAGGGCTTTCTGTTTGGTGGTAGTGCCGACTTGGCCGGGTTTCCAAGCAAGCCAAGTTGAGCTGAAAATGTGACGTCAAAACACTGCATGCCACTGATAGGCGAGGAAGTAATGTCACTGGATGAGTCATGAGGGTGACTCCTGCGCAAGAATAATACCGCTATTTTTTTTAGACATGGCAAATAAGGAAATGGGCTACACACAAACCAACCAACACTGGTCCAATGACAAGATCCAGATGTATTTGTGCAAACAACAGAATCCAGAGGGAGCTAGACCATGGTTGTGTTGTATTTGTGTTGCATACATATAAGACATTAAAATGGTATAAAACTGTAATGGAAAACAACTGAAACTGAGTAGAGCAAAGTAGAGTCAAGTTGAGGTGCTAGTGAAAAACTGACCCGATTTCCTGCATTCCCCTTTGATTCTCACCGATGTCGCCAGTTGTTGTTGTTGGAAGGTTACTTTTATCTGCCTATAGTCACTATATGTCAGTCATAAATAATATAAACTTTATAATTTGTTACATTTATGAAGCCATTTCTATTCTACCGCTGTTTTTTAAAGTTTTTTACTTAATTATTTTTTGTTTTTAATTGGGATCTGTGACATTTTTACCATAATGTTTTATCTTATTCTATTTTAATGATCCACTGATTTATTCTACTTAATGTTTTGGCTGCTGTAATACAAGAGTTTCCCAAATTATTAGGAGAAATACAGTGGACCTTATCCTATTATGGCCTTTTATTTGTTCACAACTACACAGAGATGACGTAAAACCCAGTAAGTAATAAATCACCAGAATTTCCTTATAGCCAACCCTTATCTTTCTATTTTGTTCACACATGAGTGCTGTGCAGTTGTGGCTTAAATCATTAACTTCAACTGTGTTCTGAAAATGTTAAAGTTTAGGAGCAAAGCTGAATTTGTTTTTTATGTCAAACAATCTCATTACTTAAAGCATTCAAGTAAAATGTGCATTTAGAATAAGAATAATGACGCAATTTTGTGTGATGCAGTTGTATAAAGTCAGCTGATTTGAATGTCAACAGAAAGGTCTATGAAACCGCCACAGTAAGCTATCAAATGACTGTTTCACATACCAATGTTGACTTCCACGGCAACACCAGCAGAAACTGAATTGGAAATTTACTTTTTATTCATTCAGTTCTGTAGTCCTATTCCCCCCCTGCCCCCCCTCCGAAAAAAAACAACAAACTACTGTCAGAAGAGTTTGTGTTAGAATGACATCAGTGCAGACACTGCAGGAACAGTAGTACCTTCCGACGGGCTGCAAAACGGAGTGCACGTCGAGCACCGGGACTTATGGGAAGAAAGTGACCCCTGTACTTAAACTAAGGATTCAGAGGATCAGGGATGGGGAATAGAAGACAGGAGAGGAAAATAAAATGTGGGGCGATACAAGCAGTGCTAAAAAGAAGAAGAGAAAAACAAAAGTGAACCAAAAACAGAAAATGAGAAATAAATCTGAGAGAAGCAAAAGAAGAAGTGGATAAAAAGGAATGAGTAAGAAAGGGAAAGACAGAGCAGAAAGATGACTCACATGTGACAAAGAAAGGAGGGAGTAAGCATGGAGAGAAAAAGCTGTGAATGAGAAAGGAATTTAATGAAAGGACAAATGAGGAGACAGAAGGAAGTTGAGGAAGAAAAGAAGCATGATCGAGTAAAACACAATCACATTTATGCTCGGCCCGACAAAACTTTGGGTTTAACAGAAAATCCTGAAGGTCAAAGGTTACCTCAGGCTCAGGGTCGTCATCGTCAAAGTCGTTGAAGGTGCTGTGGTCGGGGTTGTTGGATTTATCCAGCAGCTCAATCGCTAACGTCCTGCTGAGAGGCTGGGAAACAAAAGGGTGCTGGAAGAGAAACAAGAGTTGGAATCAATCCAGGTGACATCACCAATGGCACATTTTTAAACCAAAAAAATAAAAAATAAATAAATAAACTGTACTGGGTAATATGTGATTCTTAAATAAGCAGAGCTGCAACTAATCCAGCAGCTCATTAGGGTGCTGACAAATTGATATGCCGTTTAAATAACAGCCCTAACTGCTGTAGCACACAGTGATGAATGATGCTTACAAAGCAAACTGAAGTTTATGCTTTCCTTCCATTATTTAGATCTTGCTTCATGCATCATGTATCACGTTGCTCCAGCTTCTTTTATACACAGTACCTTTTAACATCACAGAATGCACCTAGTACACATGTGAACGCTTCATATATAATACATGACACCATGACCACTTAGAAGTTTTAAAAGATATTGAGGACTGATCGAATGAGGAAAAAAAAATATTGCAAAAGGTTAATTTTTTAACAGTGGATTTTTTAGTAGACTTATTTTGGAAGTCTAATCACACATCCTGTTTGGGCATCTTGTTTTAAATTTGGCCAATTTCAACCTTAAAGTATGGCTCGTGGGCAGTGATGCAACACATTAAAGTGTAGCTTTACAAGTAACCTTTTCACTGTGTGTTTTGAGATACTGGTCGGAACTACATTGGGTTAAAACAGCAACCCTTTAACCTGAATTTCACTTTGAAGAAAACAACCAAGTTGCAGGCAACAAATCTGCACAAAAAACTGCATAGTGTGTGGTAGTGCTGTGTGGTTGCTCTCACTCAGGTGTGCGCCTTAAAAACTGAATACTGGGTCAGTTTGACACAGTAGTTTATATATGCACATTTTAGGTTCATGACAAACCTGCAGAGCCCACATGCAGGTGGCCAGAATAGGATTTCCACAAAGCAACCAAAAAAACAGCAGCAGAGCTGGAAGCTATCCATCAGACCGCCTCAGAAAGGAGATCTGCCAAATCTGAAATGGCTTTTGATATTTATAAACAGTGTTGGGCAATTTTGTCAGCACGGCTAGTTTCCTAACTTAACATAAAAGTTGACTGGGAAGCCCTATCATTTTTGTTTGTTTTACATCATGTAAATATGATTGGAGATGGACTGTAATGTCTGAAAGTTAAACTTTCCTCACCTGCAGCAGTTTCTCAGCTGTGGGCCTCTTTTTTGGGTTCTTGGTCAGAGCCAGTTTGACAAAATGGTGGAAGTTATTTGTCCTATTAGTTCACCAGGGAGAGTAATGCAGAGAAAAAAGGAAAAAGCTTTAATGTTTTAGCTCTGTAAAATGATAAAAACTGGTCATTTAAACAGCTGGGTGTTACATCTATAGCACATGTGAGCAAGACCAACATATATGCAAAAGCATAACAGTCTTACCACTTCATTTTATCTTTCAACTTAGGAGGCTGGAAATTACTCTTTGTCATTAAGAACAGAGCCCTGTTGGGAGAGAAGAAATACAAATGAGAAAAATCACCTTTAACAGTGTAGAAAGACATGCCTTCCTAGCATTCAGTAATAAAGCCAATTTGATACACAATATCTACTCCAAATGACTAAAGCCAGTGTAATATATGAATAGAATAAGGATTAAAATCTCCAGGACATAAATATAGCAACATTTTGTAAAGTAACCCTTTAGACTTGTCACACAAAAATTATCTAAAGCTAATAACATTAATGTCTGTCAGTGGTTCTGACTTTTATTAAATACATGCAGAGATGCATGGTAAGAATTAAATATTCCAAATAATATTATAAACATTCTTTACTATCATTGCATCATCACAGCCCGCACACACTCCTACCTCATTGGGTGCAGGTCGAACATGGGTGGCTGCAGTTCAGCCAGTTCTATTGCAGTGATACCCACAGCCCAGATATCACACAACTGGTTGTAACCCCCTTTCCTCTCCACCGCTGCTACCTCAGGAGCCATCCTATACAAGGAAACAAGACAGAAGGACTGTATGAAAACAAGATGCATATAAGAGGGAGGAATGATCAACTATCCAAATGGGTTACACAACTACACACAAGAACAGAATATGAACTTTGTACAGTATTTCCCAGCAGCAGCACAGAAAGTTCCCAACCTCAAATGCAGCTCTATGATTCCTCTACAACTAACAAGTACTATTTATTTCTGGGTTTTGTTCTTTTGCATTAAAGAACAGCTAATATATAAAAGGAGAGAAACACATTAGTTGACAAATCCCTATGTGTACAACATTGGCCCATTAGCAGCAAGCATTGTATTGAACTGCCATCAATTCCAATGGATTAAAGCACTCTAACAGAACAGGAAGAGTAAATGTATCCAACAAATCAGTGAGTGGATCAGCCAGAACTTCCTTCAGCTCACCGATGAAAAGGCTCAAGTAATTGTTTTTGGCTCCAGAAATGCAAGGTTAGAAATCTTTCATTTTAATCATTAATTTTTATTTTGATAATTGCAATCTTTTTTCCATTAATTTTTATTATTTTAATGCATTTGTCTCATATTTTCCTCAGTAAAGCACTCTGTATTGCTGAATTGCTTCTGTATGAAAAGCGCTTGCCTTGCCCTGTCCTGCTGGGTTTTATTTTTATTGTTCTACCTGCGTACCCCTATGCAACGTCAGTGAAGCTTTTGGTTAAATATAAACAACTTACCAGTAAGGTGTTCCAATGAATGACTTCCTCTTTGCTAGGGTCGCTGTGATCTGGGCTGATACGCCAAAGTCAGCTAAGGAATAAAGAAGAAGAAAAAAACAAAAAGGAGAGGAAAAAGTGGATAAAGGGAAATAGAATTAGAGGAATGTAATGAAAAGGAAGAATGTAAAGAAATAAATACAAAGTGAAAGAGGAACAGCAGAGAGGCCAAGAAAAAAACGAAAGAAAAAAAAAAAAACAAGTCAGCAAATGAGGCCATTCAGATTCAGTCTGTTGAAGCAGAAGGTAATTGCAGGCCTTGTGTGTTTCTCTCACCTAGTTTCACATAGCCATTGTCTGTCAGGAGGATGTTGGCTCCCTGTAGGGGAAGGAAAGAAAAAAACAACAAAAACAAAATATACTGAGCTTTAGGATAAAACACACAATTTTACACTTCAACTAAATTCTAAATAATAATACTAATTATAATAAGTATTACTAAGTATAATCTGAAAGGCAAAACAGTTACAAAATGCTTTGTCATTGATTTAGCTGGTAGTGGGGAATGACTATTCATTTTTCCTATAACAAACGCATGCTTAATATATGTGGTT